TGGTGCTACCACCATCCACACAACTGCCCACCCATAACTGGGCCTCCACCTCCAACCTCGCCCCTCTCCCCACCAGCCCATCCCCACACGCCCTCTCTCTTCCTCTGCCCTCTCTCGAATGGCTATCAGATCAGTCCTCTTACCCCTGCACAAGCCTGGCACACCCTCCTCTCCACCCAGGCCACTGCAGCACCGTCCCCAGGCCCCCTCCTGGTGGAAACCCTGGCAGGTGCCAGCACTGCACACATCATCTCTCTTCATGTGCCATGGGTGGGGGGAGGGGTTAATATTAATATTTCAAGTTTGTGCAAATAAGGAAACTGAGAGGTTAGATGACCTGCACAGCTGCTGGGTAAAAGCCTCAGCACCCAGGCCCGGGTTCCTGCCACTCCCTGGTACCCACGTTGCCTGCGAGATCTTGGATATAGAAACATCAGAGTGCAGTGGGGCTCGAGATTGGGGTGGAGGGAAGGAGCTCGTGAGGAGTCAGGGTGCTCATGGGCCCGGGCTGTTGCATTTTCACATCATCTGCAAAGAAGGTCTGTTTGATTTTTGATTTACATGCTTTTTCTTAACCTATTGATGCTTATATCAATCTGGGGCCCAGAAGTCACCGGAAGCTCTCTGTCTCTCTCAGTGGCAGCTGATGTTCCTGTGCTGATCTCTTGCCCAAGCCACAGTTATTTCTATTTTTCCTCTGTTGCAATGATGGTTATGAAACCAGAAATAGTTGTAGCTGGCAGGGACATCGAAAAACACCAAACTGGGCCAGGCTGTGGTCAGCCCTGGGGAGGCAACAGCCTTTGCACAGTTACCCTCAGGCCCTGAAAGTGGGTCTCAGCCAGCAAAGCTGCCATGGGGAAGGGCCACCAGCTGGGGACTGCCAGCTCAAAGGAGCTCGGAGGCTAGAAGCAGAGCCAAAAGTCCCGATGGTGGGGTATCTCCAAGTAGAGCTGATGCTGACAGACCCCTCCTAGGGGGTGCTTTCCTGGCCAAGGACATCGCCAGATGGCAGTGAAGCTCTGCCCCTGTAGCCCCAGGTTCGGATCCAGGTCCTGACTCACTTTTACAGCTGTCTTTGGCCTTGCTCAGCCTCTCTGAGCCCCTGCTTCCTCCTCTGTAAAGGAGGAGGTAATATGTTGCTACTTCAGAGAGGGTAACTAAAAATATACTTGCATGTGCAAGAGTGTAAGAGTCAAAATTGATGTAACATGAAAGTAACTATTTTAAGTGAGCAATCCAGTGGGGTTCAGCACATGTACAATGTTGCAGAGTTATCGCCTCTATCTAGTTCCAAATAATTCTGTCACCTCCAAAGGGGACCCACTCTGCAGCTGCTCCCCATTTCTCCTCCCCACAGTGAGGAGTGGTATTTGTCACAGCTCTATGTCTGGTCCACTGAGTCCCACTGACCTTACACTCACCAGTGGCCTTGGGAGCTTTGCTCAAATTCTCAAAAAGGCTTTTGTTGGTTTGAGGTTCTGGCTCCTGGGCACCTGAATCTCTATTTAATTCAAACAAACCTTTACCAACCCTGCCAGGTGCCAGGCCTGGGGAACTCTTGGAGAAACTTCAAAATTCACAACAGGCTCTATCATGTCAGAGTCTGAGAAGCTGGCTGTCATTGAATGTTTTAAATTTTATTTTCTGTGTCCCATGCTGATTTGATCAGGAAACCCTTTTATCCGAGGGGGCCCATAACCCTCTCTGGGGGCCACCATTTCAGGGGACAGTTTGGGAATTGCTGGCCTAGTGCAAACAGTCACTGAGCACCTCAGAAGGCAAGCCCTCCGGGTACATGATTTCATCTCATCTTCCTTGTGCACCACTCCTTAGTCATTTGCAAAATCGCAGCTGCGGGAAATGACAATTTCAAAGATTTTTTAAATGGAAGTATAATTTACATGTGATCAAATTTACACTTTTGAGTGCGCAGCTTTATGGGTTTTGACAAACTCATATAGCTCCTTAATACCACCCCCACCACAATCAAGGCATAGAACAGCGCCACCGCCCCTAGAATCTTCCCGTCCCTCTTCCCAGTCCCTGGAAACCCCCTGCCCCTATAGTTTGCTCTTTCCAGAACATCGGTCCCCCGATGTTAGTGTGTAACACTTGCTTAGTGTGTAACATTTTGAGACTGGCTTCTTTTATTGGGCATAATGCATTTGAGGTTCCTCTATGTTGTTGCACATACTGATAGTTTCTTTTTGTTGTTGAGTGGTATTCTAGTGTATAGATGTACCATAGTTTGTTTATTCATTTAGCAATTGAAGGATTTGGGTGTTTTGTTTTTTTATAGTTTGGGGTAATTATGAACACAGACATTAAAACATTCACATACATTTTTTTGTGGGAATATAAATTTCATTTCTTTTAGGTAAATGCCTAGGCATTGATTTGCTAGGTTGTCTGGTAGGTGTGCATTTATAAGAAACCGCCAAACTGTTTTGCAAAGGGGCTGTGCCATTTTGCACCCCTACCAGTGAGGAAGGGAGTTGCAGTTCCTCTGCACCCTCACCAACATTTGGTATTGTCAGCTTTTAAACTTAATTTTAACCATTTGAGTAGATATGTAATAGGAAATAACACTTAAAAATGGCTTATTATCTAATCTTTGATCCATCTTCTTATGGGTTGAATCCTAAACCCCAACACTTCAGAATGTGACCTTATTTGGAGACGGGGCCTTTATAGCAGTAATGAAATTAAAATGAGGTCATTAGGGTGGGCCTTAACCCAGTATGACTCAAGTCCTTATAAAAAGAGGAAATTTGGACACAGAGAGATACACATGGAGGGGAAGGGTAACGTGAAGAGACAGGGAGACCACGCCATCCGGCAGCCAAGAAGACCCTGACAGATCCTTCCCTCACAGCCTCTGGTGGAGCCCAGGCTGCCCACAGCTTGGTTTCAGACTTCTGGACTCCTTAACTGTGACAGAGTAAATTTCTATTGTGTGAGACACCCAGTCTGGCACTTTGTCACAGCAACCCTAGCAAACTAACACACATGCAAACAACATGGCTGATAGATCCGTGCATTCTGAACCCTATCACTACAAAGGCATAATCTCCCGCATGCTCCCGTCCTGGCTGTCCAGCATCTGTCTGCAGAGGAAAGTGGGGTGGGAGTGCAGCGAGTGGGAACCGGGGCAATGGAGGCTGTGGAAAGAGACCGCTGTTTCGAGGCGGTTAGCTGGGAAGGGGATAGCTGTCCCCTTCACTCCACCTTTCCAGGGCCGGAAGGTGGGACTCCTCCACCGACAGCTGGATGAAGAGAAGGTGGCCCCAGGGGGGCATCAGAAGGTGTCACATAAAAATACCATTGACTGGAAGAGTTCTGGGGATGGGTGGTAGTGACGGTTGCACAACACCGTGAATGTACTTTATGCCACTAAACTGTCCGGGTAAACATGGTGAATGAAGATGGTAAATTTTATTTATGTATTAATATATTTCACCACACCTTTTTTTTTTTTTTTAGACAGAGTCTCACTTGTTGCCCAGGCTAGAGTGAGTGCCGTGGCGTCAGCCTAGCTCACAGCAACCTCAAACTCCTAGGCTCAAGCAATCCTCCTGCCTCAGCCTCCCGAGTAGCTGGGACTACAGGCATGCGCCACCATGCCCGGCTAATTTTTTCTATATATATTAGTTGGCCAATTAATTTCTATTTATAGTAGAGACGAGGTCTCGCTCTTGCTCAGGCTGGTTTCGAACTCCTGACCTCGAGCAATCCGCCCCTCTCAGCCTCCCACAGAGCTAGGATTACAGGCGTGAGCCACCGCGCCCGGCCTCACCACAACTTTTAAACAATCACTCGTGCCAAGAGCAATCACTGCATGCTCACTGAGCACCAGGCACCTTGCCGAGGGCTTTGCACGTGCGATCTCGTCTGCGTCCGGACTACCCCTGCGCCCAAGTGTCACTATCCGATGGATCTGGAGACACGCTCGGAGAGGTTAAGTCACTCGCCCAAGGTCAACACAGCGGGTCCCAAGCCCCAGCGGGCGAGCATCGCAGTCCTCTCCCAGTGAGTCGGGGGCGCGACCGAGTCTGGTAGACAGCAGGCGCCCATAAAGGCTGCTTGTAGGGAAAGTCGTTCCCCGCCACGCCGCGCTCCGGCTGGGTCTGCGGACACCGCGCGCCCCCGCGCGCCCCCGCGCGCCTGCCGGGGCGGAGCCCACGCTGCGGACTGGCCGCCGCGGAGGGGCGGGGCCCGGCGGGAGGGGCGGGGCCGACTCTGGGCGTAAATAGCGCCACATGGCACTGGCTGGCGAGGCCGGCGCGGCGGGGAGGGCGCAGGCGCGCTGAGGGTGGGCGCCCCTCGGTCTCCGCGGCCCCTCCGGCGGCCGCGACTTCTCGCGAGAAGAGGAGCGGTAGGCGGGGCCGAGTGCTGGGGGCGGGCCCGGGGCCGGCGGGGCGGTGTCGGGAGGGGTCCGTGGGGCGCGGGCGGCGGCGGGCGCGAGGCGCGGGGTGCGGACCGGCCGAGGTGAGGGCGCGGGGCGGCCGAGGTGGGAGCGCGGGGCGCCGGCTCCCTCCCGGCGCGCTCGGTCCCGGGACGGGGTCCCGTGGCGGGCGGGCCGGGCGGGGGTACCGCTGGGGCGGGCGAGGGTCCCTGGGCGGGGGGCGCGGGGCGCTCTGCAGGCCCGGCCCGGGAGGGTGCGGCGGCCCCGCTGCGTGACCTTGGCCCGCGCGCGCCCTCTCTGTGCTGTCCGGGTGCGGGGTCCGGGGGTCGGCGGAGACGCCGCAGTGCCGGGCGGGGGCGGTCGGTCCCGGCCACTTGCTTCCGACGCGCGGCGCCGGGCGGGGGTCTCGGGCCGCACGCGCCCGGCGTCCTCCGGGCACTCAACTTGCGCCCGCCGGCCGCAGCCGCGACGCGCAGACCGCGCACCGGGCGGCTGGCGCGGCGTGTCGCCTCAGTGCCCTCCGGCTCCGAGACAGCGGCTCCGCTCTGGAGCGAGCGGAAGCCCCGGTGCAGCCCGCGGACGGGAGGACTGACTGCTCGGCGCGCGGCCACCGAGGCATCAGCGGCAAACCCTTGGCTCGGGCGAGGTTCCGCCTGGCGCGGAGCACAACGAGCCGTAGTGTTTCCACAGTTATTAAATTATTTACTGCATAATTCGGTGCTGTCGGCTCGGAAGACCCGGGCGACTGAGAATGTGGGTTGCAGGCAGGGTGGACGGTGCCTCTCTGACCCCCTGCGCCCCACAGTGTGGTTCCGGCTGTGGGTGGCTGGGGACAGCTCAGCTGGTCCCTTACCTGCCCCCACACCGGGGCACAGTTTAGCCTTCCTCTCTAAACAGCTGGTGTTGGGAATGTGAGTCAGGGCTGGTGTCTGAGCGAAAATGGGGAGAAAACAGGGGTCATTAGGAAATTGCCACAAGAGTGCTTGCGTGGAATGGCAGAGATGTTTAATTTCCCTGGGGCTGGGGCCGATGTTTTCCGGCCAACAATAACGGTTTACTGACGCTCAGCGTGTGCCTGCTTCATGCTTCAGCGAGCGTTATCGAACCTCTAAGCATACAGAAGATGCCAAGTTGGGCTGGCTAGATGCTGGCGATACCACGGGCCTTACCCTGGGAGCTCATGGTTGGCCGGCTGCAACACAATGTGGTTGGGACTGTAGGAGTTTACAAAGTGTGAAGAAAGAGGGAGCAACTGAGCTTATTTCTTGGAGTTGGAGAAGTTTTCCACAGTGGAGAGGACACGTGAATTGGGTCTTGAAGGATGAGTGAAGTTCGGGGAGAACATTCTGGGTGGAGACCACAGGGTGTGCAGGGAGGTGGAGGTGAGTGGGGTGTTTGGGGAACCGTGAGTCGCTCTGTTCATGATGGGATGGGGTTTGAGGACCCAGGTGGAAGCTGAGGCTAGAAAGGTAGGTTTCTGGTTGTGATGGCGCTTGAAATGCTGTGCCAGGAGTTTGAGCTTTGGTAATGAGCAGTCATGGTTTGGGGCAGGACACAATTAGGCCTGTGTTTCAGAAAGGTAATGCTAATGAGAATGGGAAAGATGGATTTAGGGTCTGGGGAGATGGAGATGCAGTTGGGCAGCCCTGTGGGGGCGTGGGTCCAGGTCAGAGGCTGAGGGTGTGGAGCTGGAAGAGGCTGCAGCATCCACTGGGTGGGGGCGACCTGTGGGCTGTAGTGAGAGGGCTAGGCTAAGGCAGCTGAGATTTCTTGCCTGGGTGCAGAGGCTGGCGCTGGTGCTCGTGATGAAGGATGCTAGAGCCGGCAGGAGAGGGGAAGGGCAAAAACACACGTGGGTCTTAGACCTGTAGAATATGTGGGCGTCTTGGATGCAGTGTGGTCTGGTAGGGAAGGGGATGCATCGTGTTCGAGGAGGGGATCCCTGGAGTCCCAGCATGGGGCACAGAGGGTGGAAGAGGAGCTGTCGTCTGGCCAACCTGGGACAGACAGTTCTCTTTACTGCAGGGTTGTCGGGACTGGTGGGTGGTTCTCCTCCAGAGAATTGGCGGAAAGAGACCGCTTATTGTTAGCACTGAAACACATGCGGCTCACTTATCATTTTTAAAAATGTTACATCTTTAGTTTTGGTTTTGAAATTGTTTCTTTCTCTTCAGAAATGAGCATTAGTTTCACACCTGCTTGGTGGCTCTGTGGCCGCAGTTGGGGCTGGTGGTTCAGTTGCTGGCCCACAGATGTGCATGAAGATAACTGACCGTCTACCTCATTACTTCCTGCTGTTAGCCAAGGTGGTGGTTTCTGTAACTGTCAAGAACCTTTAACAGTATTTCAGAGAAGAATAGTAAGCACCCCAGGCACATCGTGTTTAGGGGCGAGGGGGTGCCCCGCTACACAGAGCCCACTTGGCTCCTAGAACAAGGCCACCTGGGGCTTTTCCCTCTGGGCAGAATGATGCCTGAATCTGAGTCTTTGGGGAACCTGAGTGGCCCAGGTGAAAAGACCTAAAAGTAATGACATCAGGGAGTCCCCAGTTCAAAGGCCCACCTGGATCACTTGCTAATGAAGCTTGTCATTAACAACCACTCCCAGTGTTGGAAGCATCCAAGTTTTCTTAATCCTCCTCCCTTAGATACTAACAGATAACCAAGGACACCTGACGAAGAAAACCTCGGGCATGGAAGATGGAGACCAGAGCGCACACCTGCAGGCAGCGGAGTGTGCAGGAAGAAGACTTGGACCAGATTGTCATCCATATGCACGTGGAGATAACAGGAAACACTGCACACGTGAGACAAGAACAGGCAGCCCTAAAAAGGAAAGGAACTCTCAAAGATCCAAAAAGAGAATTCTTGGATGTAAAAAATACAATAGCCAAAGTTAAAAACCTCAGTTGGTGGGTGAAAGGTAAAGTTGAGGCACTCTCTCAGAAAGTAGAACAGAAAAGCAAGAAGATGGAAAGTGAGAGAAAAAAGGTCAGAGCAGAAGGTTGACAGCTGAACAACAAGAGTTTCAGCAAGAAATAGAGAAAATAGGACGAAATCATCCACAAAGTGATTTCTTAGAACTCAGACATTCTGGGTGGAAGGGGCCCAGCCAGTGACCAGCACCGTGGATGAAAATGCAGGTGTCTGTCACTCTCCCGGTGTCTCCACTTCCCACTTTGGCTATTAAAAGTCTGGGCAGTAAGTTTGGACAGTGAGGGAGATCGAGTTTCAGATAGACACTAGTGAGAATGTGGGAGCAAGGGATTTATGTGAAAGTATGTGTCACTCTGTCAGCTCCAGAATTTGGATAATGAGAGTTTGGATGGGGGGAGATTTACCTGCGTCCCCCTGCAAGACACGAAGCTGTGACGTTTCAGAACCCGTGGAATGGAGAAGAGTGTGGTAGCCTCTAGAGAAGAAAACAACAGGTCACGTGTCAGCTGGGCTTCAGACTCCACAGGAACACGGGACGCGAGAAGACAGGAGAGCCTTGCTCTTGAGATTCTGAAGGAAAATTCTGTCAACCTTGAACTCTACACTCAGGCAAAGGAGGGTAAAGACATCTTCAGACGTGCTCCCCAGGTTTGCCTCTCATGCTGGGAGGCAGTGGCTGCAGGCGCGGTCTGCCTGGTGGGGTGGCAGGGCTAGAGAGAGGGAGGGAGGGGGATGCGTGGAGGAGAGAGGACTTCCCCCTAGGTGGGGGTGACAAGGACCTGCTGGAGGAAGATGGAGAAGCAGGACGCCACCAGGCACCCACGTGGAGAGCAAACTCGTCCTGAGCTGAGCTGGTCAGAGGCTCCTCGAAGAGATTTTTTGGGAGAAGATGAAATTAACAGGACACCCGATGCTCGGGACATCTGGAGAGGAGATTTAGACAGTTGGCAGAGTTGGGGCTGGATTAGTGATAAGTACTAAACAAAGCAAATGAAAACACAAGACTGTTATTAGTTCCAGGGAAAATAAACCGTTGTGCAGGAAAAGAAAAATAATTATAGTGTACTACAAGGCTCAGCTGTGAATGGCCTCTCCACAATGATAATAGTTTATGTAAACACTGGCGGCTGCTCTAATTGGAATTATGATATGCCTGGGTGCAGAAGGTGTGGGGGAGACGGCATGGCTGGGTCCAGGGGAGGAGAGAGCTACGCTTTCTCCTGCCACCGTGGGAAGTCAGTCGGTGATGCCCCAAACTGAAGAGGCAAGGTCCAGCTCCAGAGGCCATCATTTAGAGGTGGGAGGCAAACGCCCAGAGAATCGGCTAGAAGGGCGGAGATAAGGCTGGGGAAGAGGGCAGGGACTGCTGTGTCCAAGAATGATTCCGTCCTTGAGTGGATGTGTTGATGTGAATAGTGGATGTGGATGTGGATGTGGATGGTGTTGATGTGACTAAAAACAGTCTCAGGCAAGCTTCCTGCTCGAGTGGAGAGGCCTCAGCTGCTTTCCGTGCATGGCCCTCTTTAGCGGCTATTTCCTCTTGGTTATTGCCATCGTTCTCTGTATCCTGTCTCTGGAGCTGTGGTCACTTGGCAGAGATTTGGAGCTTGGTGGGGGCCAGGATCTCCTTCCTCTGAGCTTCGAGTGGAGATGGGAAGGCAGTGTGAGATTGCCCTGGGATTCCCAGGGCACGGGTCCAGCAAAGGGACAGCAATGCAGAGGCCAGGCAGCGGGAGCCTGCTTGGGTGGTAGGCGAACGGCAAGGAGACCATCGAGGTTGGGGTGGGTTGGTGAGGGGGCTGCGCTAGGACATGAGACCGGTGGGGATTGGAAGCCACTGGACTCCAGTGATCGGAGGACTTTGAGCAGACATGCCACATGACCTGGGGATTAGAAGATACTGGACTCCAGCGATCGGAGGACTTTGAGCAGACATGTCACATGACCTGGGTTGGAAATGGATTGTGTGGGCACCAGGGCAGAAGCAGGAAGGCAGTTTCGGAGGTAGCTGTGCTAACGCAGGTGAGGCTCAGGTGGGCTGGGCTGTGGGTGAGGCTAAGAGGGGTCAGGGCCTGGGGATATTTTGTATGTAAAGCCCTAGGCAGTTTCTTAAACTGATCATGTGAAATTTATTGTTATTAACAACATTAATTTTAATTATCGAAGTAATTTTTTTGAGTTGGTGTTTTATAAATGCATTATAAGTATTGTGCTGCCTTAGACATGATGCCTGTCTGCTAAGAACTTGGAACCTAGTCTGGGGATATTGGACTGGTCCATGTTCACTGATGTCCTGTCTAGTTGTGAGGTGCTGACCCAGGGCTTAGCGACGGGGAAGGTTGGTGGCCTCTGGGCCCTGGGTCCCGATCTGTGGGAAAGTCGCTTCAAAGGCAAGTTTGGGCTCAGTTTTCATGTAGGTCTCCTGTGTCTTTACATCAGTGTTCTGTTCTCATCAATGTGACCACTTATTACATATTTTTATTTGGATAATACTGTCAGATTTAGTTTGCAGGGTTAACTGCACACAAGTGGAGTGATTTTGTAAGCAAATAAGCCACGGTCGTCATGGTACCAAGTGAAAATCTATCTTACAATGAGGGTTTTACTGCAGCACCACACTGTAAATTGCAGGGCTTGGCAGCCCAGGGCGTGCAGAGAGCAAATGTTGACACCAGAAACTTTCCAAATTTTTGTTGACTACAGTGATGGGAACTGCAGTGAATTATTCGCCTTATATAGAGTTTATAAAGCTGGAAAAGAAATAGGTGGTTTCTGGTCTTTTTGCCAGTAGCATAAATAAATAAAACTTGGAACAGTTTTATATATATATAAAACTTAGAATTCTTAATGAAGGTCATGTCACTTGACTTAATGCCCAAGAGCTTGGTTATTTGGACACGAAGAAGCTAATTCTCTCAGAAATAAAGGTAATAATAATCTGAATGTCTATGGCTGGGATTACAGGCTGGGCTCATGCCTGTAATCCCAGCACTTTTGGAGGCCGAGGCAGGAGGATCACTTGAGGCCAGGAGTTTGAGACCAGCCTGGGCAACATAGTGAGACCCCGTCTCTACAAAAAATTTTTTAAAAAATTAGCTGGAGGTGGTGGCTTGTGCCTTTCATCCTGGATACTTGGGAGGGTTGCTTGAGCCTAGAAGTTCAAGGTTATGGTGAACTATGATCTCACCCCTGCATTTTAGCTTTGGTGATAGAGCGAGACCCTGTCTGTCTAAAACAACAAAAAAGAAAAATCTGACCAGGCGCCTGAGTCAGATTGCCAGCTCTAAACAGTTGCTAGCTATGTAGACTTGGACAAGTTGTATAACTATTTTCCCCAATTTCATCACAATTAGTGTTGAGATTAAACAGACTAATATGTGCAAAGCCCTTAGAACAGCACTTTTACAAACATGTTTGCCACAGTTGTTATAAAATCAGTTGCAAATGTATAGTCATTTTCGACTACTGATCACTGGCTCTTAGTAGAAAGGAAGAGAAGTAATACAAATGACATGTTTGTGTAACACAACTGTTTGAGTGAGCATGAATAAGGCCAGTGGTATTTCCTAAATAAAGTGCTTTACTATTTTCTAAAACACTTAGCTGGTGTTTTCTCATTTTCTTTCTCAATACCTCTGGTTAGCAGAAAGGCCTAGGTTGTTCTCATGCTGTAGACGAAGAACTGAAACTCAGACGTAAGGTGACTTGGCCCAGGCCACTCAGCAGAGGTGGGGCCTGTTCTCAGTTCCTCTTGCTTCCTCCAGCCCGTACACGTGTGTGCAGAACTCTGTGCTGGGCTTTTTCTCCGACTTCGTGGAAACTGGTGACAGCGGGCTGTCCCATCCATATTGAAGAGAAAAGTTTTAGCTTCTGGAGATCAACTTCGTAAGACCACTACATTCTTTAAAATTTTAAATCAACGGTATCGAGGTATAATTTACAAGCCATAAAATGCTCTCCTTTTTAAAGTATACGGTTCGATGAGAGTGGACATACATGTTCACCTGTGTGATCACCACTGCAGTCAGTGTGACAGGACATTTCTGTCACCCGGAGCTTCCCTATGCTCCTCTGCAGTCTGTGACGTCTCCCACCGTTTTTGGCTATAAGTGGCATCACACAGCAGGCACTCTTGTGTCCCGCCTCTTTCGTTCCACATGTGACCTCTGAGATTCACGCATGTTGTCACATGAATCAGTAGTTCATTCATTTTCGTTGCTGAGTAGTTTCTTATTAAATGGGTACACCAGTTTGTTCATACATTCACTGATGGCCATTGGGGTTGTTTTCAATTTTTAGCTATTTGGACTAAAGCTGCAAAGAATATTCTTGTTTAAGTCTTTGTGGGGACATGTTTTCACTTCTCTTGGACAGTTAGCAATGGAATTGCAGCCTGTATTGTAAATATGTTTAACTTTATTAGAAACTACCAGGCTGTTTCCGTAGCGGGAATACTGTTTTCTGCCTTCCCCCGTCCCAGCGCCCCTGCAATCCCGCCGGCACTTGCTCTTGTTAGTATTTTTCATCTTAGCCATTCCCCAGGTGCTAGGTGGGAATCTCATTTTAATTTACATTTCTCTGATGCCTGATGATGATAAGCCCTTATGTGCTTTTTGACTATTGGTACATCTTTCGTGAAGTATCTGTTCTCATGTTTTTGTTCATTTTTTAATTGGGTCGTTTGTTTTCTTATTTTTAGTTGTGAGAATTCTTTATATATTCTGGATATAAGTTCTTTGTTAGATATATGTATTGAGAATATTGTGTCCCAGTTTATGTCTGCCTTTTAATTTTCTTCATGGTAAAACTTGAAGAGCCTAAGTTTGAAATTTTGATAAAGTCCAGTTTACCAAATTTTTATCTTATGGTTCCTGCTTTTGGTATCCTGACAAATCCTTGCCTTCCTCAAAGTCATGGCGATTTTCTTCTGCTTTCCTCAGAAAGGTTAATAGTTGTAGCTTTTATATGGAGGGCAGTGCTCCGTCGCAAGCTAAATTTTGTGTGTGGTACGAGATGTAGGGGCTGAGGTTCATGCTCCGCCAGACGTCTGGTTATTCCAGCACCACGGGTTGAAAAGACTGTTCTTCCCTTGTTGGATTACTCTGGTGCCTCTGCTGAAAATAAATTGGCCACACATGTGTGGGTCTCTTTTTGGACTCTGTTCTGTTCCACTTGTCCATGAGGTATGTCTGTCCTTATACCCTGTCTGCATTATTTTCTCTATTTTTACTTTCCAACTTTATAGTTAGTTGCGAAATGAGCCACTCAGACTTCAAATCTGTTCTTCTTCTTTTATTTTTTGAGACAGAGTCTGGCTCTGTTGCCTAGGCTAGAGTGCCATGGCATCAGCCCAGCTCACAGTAACCTCAAAGTCTTGGGCTTAAACAATTCTTCTGCCTCAGCCTCCCGAGTAGCAGAGACTACAGGCATGTGCCACCATGCCCGGCTAATTTTTTTTATGTATATATTTTTACTTGTCCAGATAATTTCTTTCTATTTTTAGTAGAAATGGGGTCTTGCTCTTGCTCAGGCTGGTCTTGAACTCCTGACCTTGAGCAATCCTCCCCCCTCAGCCTCCCAGAGTGCTAGGATTAAAAGTGTGAGCCACCATGCCCGGCCCTGTTCTTTTTCAAGCTTGTTTTGGCCATCCTAGGTCCTTTGCAACTCTGAATAAATTTAAAAAATTTTCAATTTCAACAGAAGAGCCTGCTGGAATTTTGATTGGGATCACTGTATTTCTAGAGATCACTTTGGGGAGTAGGAACATCTCGATATTAAGGCTACTAATCCATGAACTTGATATCACTCCTCTTTTTTTTTAGAACTTCAGTTTCTCTGCAGTGTTTTGTAGCTTTCAATGTAGAGCATCTAATTTTATAATTGAATAATCAGTGATAAGATTTGTACATCATGTGTTAATGGCCAGTCTGATGGGTCTTTAAATAGATCCTACGCATTGGTATAGAACATAAGCTTTTCTGGATCTTGTAGAACATTCCAGGAGCTGAAAAATCCATTTCATATTTTTTTAATACCATCTTTTCTGAGTTCTTGAAAGCCTCAGCATAAAAAAAAAGGTCTAGCCTTTAGGCAAAAAAGTTCATAGCAGCTTTATTCATAATAGAGAAAAAAAGGAAATAACCCCAAAGTCCATCAGTTGGGAAGTGGGCAAACAAATGGTGGCATATCATACAGTGAAATTCTCAGCAGGAGAAAAAGGAACTTGCTGCTGATACAAGCAGCAACCTGGATGCTTCTCAAGGCACCACGCCAAGTGAGAAAAGCCATGTACAGAGGCCTGCACACTGAGCAATTCCCCTTCTGGGACATTCTAGAAAAGGCAGAACTGCAGGACCGAAAACAGACTGGTGGTTGCCTGGAGCTGGGTGTTGGGAGAGGGTGAGAGGGGACTTTTGGGAGGGATGGAAATGTTCTTTATCTTAACTGTAGTGTGCGTTTGCCAAAACGCATCAAACTGTGCACTTAAAAAGAATGAGCTGTACTGTGTGTAAATCCTACCTCAGTAAACCTGACTTTAAAAAAAAGAACAAGCAGAGGAGCCAAAGTGACTCCATCAGGAAGGAATGGTTTTTTCCACACATGGTGCTGGAACAGCCGGGTATCTATGTGGGGAAAAAAACCAACCTCAGGCCCTCGCTCTGGAATACCTGTGTTGGATGCAGCTGAAAGTCTCTGCATTTGGCCAAGGACAGTCGTTCCCATTTGTTAACACTTAACTGTCCAGTTCTCGCCGGTTTGATCATTTCCATCTGTAATGTGCAGTAAACACACATGCATGCACACACGGTACCCCCAGTCCAAATGACAAAGTGGATATCTGTATTAGGGCTCTCCAAGGGAACAACCAGTGGGATGTATGTGTGTCTGTGTGTGTGTTTATATGTGTTAACATACACGTACACATGGAAAGAATGATTGTAAGGAATCAGCTCATACAAGTGTGGAGGCTGAGAGGTCCAGTCCTGGGAAATGGTACAGTTCCAGCCTGAGTCCAGACCAGA